ATTTATATTTTTTGACTATTTAATAAGTAAAAAATATCAAACTTAAAATCACAACTAATAAGTAAAATATCTTAAATATTCAATCATGAAAACATAAAATAAATTAATATTCAGTTGATGTGATTTACAATTTTATCTCCAATTATATCACAAACAAGCTGCATCTGTCTTGACGATTCGTGTAGATTTGATGAAAATACCTCACCAATATTGATATCTTTCTTATGGACATCTACACTTTCATCTTCAGCTTGTATGAATTGCTCAACAATAATTGAATTTTTTCTAATAAAGTTATGTATTGTCATTGTTGCACAAACAATTTGAACTTGTGTTTTATATTTAAATTTGGGCATTTTTTTTGTATAATTGCAAACCTATTCTTCCACACTCCAAAAGTTCTTTCTATAGTGCATCTCAAACTTGAATGATAATAATTGAAAACCTCATTAATGTTTGCAAATCCTGCAACTCGCCTGAAGTCTGAAAGGTGATAATGTTTACAACAATATGGACTAAGATACCCATTTAATGTTGGATAATCAGGATCAACCAAATAATATTTACTTATTAAATAAAAGGAAGTGTTGTAAATTTGACTAACATTATATCAATGCAATAATAATTATAGTGACTTTAATAAAATATATCTGGAGGTGGATGCGAACAATGCATTGAAGGAGTTGATATGACATTATCAAATACTCGAGCATCATGAGCTGTACCCTCCTATCCCATATGACAAAAGTAAAAAACATGTTCCAATCACATACAGCCATAACATTCTGTATTGCATATTCTTTTCTTTCATTAAATTTGATTTGATTAGCAACACTAACTACGTATGGCACATGAGTGCCATCAATTGCTCTTATAGTATCCTTAAAGAATGGCCAATATCGTGGATTATTTTGAATTTTTGAATGACATCATTGAAACAAAGAATCAAGTGACATCTAAGGTTAAGGAAGGCAACAAATACTCTATGAAAATTTCTATGGATAGTTTTCCCTAAATGGTGAAATTGTTCTTGTCTCATTCTGTTACCAACTCCACATCCAAATGTATTTGAAAATATTCTAACCATTTCTTCAACTCCCATTTTTTTAAATTTCCTTAGACCAAGATCAACTAGTGTCGTACACAGTCGCCTAAACAAATGTTTTTCTATTCAAAACATTATATAACAATGATTAGGATGACCTTGCAAAATCTTATTGACCCACATTTGTTCTATTTGCCTACTAGTTCTCCATGGCTCTTTACATACATTTGGCATAACATATTCACTAACTAATTGACATATTTTTTCTTGCTTAGTTATATCTTCTTGTAACAAGAGAAGTAGTTGATGAGCCATATCTACATCTCAATCTTCATTCCAATCTAACATATATTCATTTAAATCTTTCACGATTTTTCAACTTGAGATAAGATAGTATGTAAATATCATTTGTATATAATATAAATACATAGTATATAAAAATCATTCAACAACATAAAAAATAAAGTATAAGATAAGCATTAGATAAGAGTTAAATATTCACTACAAACCAAGTCGTCATTTGCATAGCAAAGTACAAGTCAAACACAGGTTAAATCATTAAAATCTTAGATAAAAATTCATCTAGATGTATTCTTTAAAATAAAATCTGGTAGATGGTAGACTTGGTGTTTCAACCAATTGACCAAGTGATTAGGATGATCTTTAAGTTACTAGTAAACATCTCGCATAGACTTGTACAGAACAAGATTGACATATCTCCAATGTAAATTTTTATTACCAAAAACTTCTGAAAGTCCATTCATGTGAGCCACAACCTTTAAAACTCCTATGTTATTTGCCAAAATATTTTTCATTATTTCTATTCTAGTTTTATTATCCTTAGCCATTTCACTCATCGCGTCTACTATTTTCATTGAGGTAGGGACTTTTTGCTTTTTCCTCCCACCAACTCCTACAACCCTTTTTCTCTTGCCTTGACTTCCATCACTACTAGTTCCACTGGTATTTGTGGTAACATTCAAGCCCAACAACTCATCTGTAACCCCCATAGGTGTTGCGGTGTCAGATAAATTTAGCTCCTATTCAGTATCATCAAAGCCTTCTTGAAGGTCAATAGTAGGACGGTACACATCCTTATCATCATTGTCCTCTATTTGGGTCTGGGTAACAGATGATATAAAAAGTGTCTTCCCAATGGCCAAGACATCCTTGAATATCAAGGTCAATTCCCTTGCAAATCTCAGGCCTTTATATCTAAATTTTTCATAAAAGGGATTTTCCTACAACCATTCAAGTAACTAACAATTAAAATTCTTAAATTAAATTCTAATTTTAAAAACACAAAAAAAAATCCATGCCAAGATTTTTCGCTCCTATCACTCATTTGGAGCATCGACGGTATTCTTGTCACTGTCCCATCCTAAGCCGATTTCACTTGAAAACAACTTATGCTATACGTTCCATTCTTTCTTCATGTTAGCTAGCTTATTTTTCAGTTGCTTTTGCTCATACCTTTTTCCTGTTTTTGCCTCAAACCCCTCAATTATTACTTGCCACCCATTTTTGTTGAAAGTAATTTCTTTCTTTTATTTCTTGTATACTTGCTTCAAGCACTCCGTAATGAAAATTTCTATTAAGGTTGAATTTCACACAGCTTTTCCTTTGTCGCTATTTACAGTTCTATAGACTAGTCAGTCATCACAACCATGCAAAATCAATAAATATCTCTGCATATAAATATCCTTAAAAACGAACAAGAGATTGTAATTAGATCTAAGGCTTTTGAGAATATTAGCTACTAATTATCATCTCTCTTGATAAACCCAACTAACTCTTAATTTCTCTTACTTGCTACAAGATTATATCAGACTAACATTAAGAAATAGATTTTAGAATCTTTAAACTTTAAAAGAATAAATTAAGAAAGTAAATAACTAATATAGTACATTAAAAACATGACATGCCTATTCATACAGCACTATAGAATCAATTCTAGAAATGATGAACGATGAAACTAACAATATCTTATATAATGAAGAACAACAATTTAAAATGATGCAACTTGCACAAAAAGAATTGAAGCACAAGTAGGAAGAGCTAATGACATAAAAGCGTAAATTGGCATTGCTGCTGCAAGAATTAGAGCAAGCTAAAGTGCAACAGGAGGAAGTTAAGGTATGCTACTTTGAGCCTTGCATATTCCAAGTTAGTTGTATGTCATGTTGCTTGAGTTCCTTACTTACCCAACCGAATTATTTGCTATCCATTTCTATGCATCAAATGAATTTTTATCATTGGGTCTATTCTCATTGTAGAGGAAACTATCACAGGCCAGATGGCAACAAAAAGTAAAGGTAAAGGAAGAAATTATCCTATAGGCTAGTTCCATAAGAAAAGGAAGAGAACAACTTGAAGTTTTAGCAAAATTCGAGGAAGACATGATCAAATCAAATGTAGAAAAGAATCCACACCGGTACATAGATGATTGGTCTAACAACATTATAAATAAATGAGTTCTAGAAATGTATCTTATGGGCATCTGTACTTATGTTACACGCACGTATTTCTCGTCGCATGGGATTGAAAAAGAAAATGAAAATCAGCAACTTGAGTTCCAGAAACGAATAGGGGATGAAAGTAAAGATAATAACAAGTAGGATAGTAAACAAATGTACACGCATTATATCTTCCTTTGCTCTAAAATAAATGAATAGGGGATGGACATGAAAGAGAATAACAAGCATATATCAGTTTTTGGAGCAGCAGAGCACAACAAATCAAGGAAGAAATAGTCTTTGAAGAAGGAACAGCAGAGCATGACAAGAATGAAGGCAAGGAAGGAGATGAAAAGAAGGACCTTACTTGGCAAGGACAGGCAATGGGGAGTAGATCCGGCAATGGGAAGTGCAGATTTGTAGACACAGTGGAGATTGAGAGGCGAAAGGGAGAAGAAGCACTTTGGAGCAGGGACACGGTAGAAGCTAGAAAAAATAGCAGAGCTAGAGATCGATAGAAGGAAGCAGACAACTAACGGAAGGAAGCGGATCTAAGATGTGTAGAGTTGTGCGCAATGTAAATTGGGAGTTGTGTGTTTTGATCTGAGGTGTGTGTTTTGAAGTAGATTGGGAGGTCACGGGTAAAAGCAGCATGCATAGGAAGCAAGGCACAACTTGGGTAGATAGAAGATAAGAGAAAGAAAGCATCAAAATTTAAAATGCATTTAATGCTTGCAACAGCAAACATGAACGGAGGAAAAGCCATATCAGTTGGCTTCTCAATTATCGCGCGTTTATATGTTAACTGAGGTTGAAAAATTATGCTAATCCAAATAAAATTTTTTTAACATTTTGCATTCTAACCTCAATTTCACCCATTCTAATTAAGATTAAAGTATAATCCAAACATACTCTTCATGTATTCTTGTTAAGTTGCAATGCATTGTCTTGCCAAATTTTGAGACTTGACTCCCGCAAACAAAATTTAATTTCAACTCCATAATAAAAATATATGCCCATTTTTTCAGAAAAGTTCAGAAATTGATCCGATAAAGATTTGGAGATGGAGTGGCGTGGGAAGAAGGTATATTGCAAGGGGAAGAAGGGACAAGACAAAGTGGGAATATTAAATGAGCGCACAGATGCCGTCAAACGCCAATGGTTACAAAGGAAAGCAGAACACAGAGAGAGAGAGAGAGAGAGAGAGAGTTATTATTAACAATTTATATTTATAATTAATAAAAAGGGTGATTCCGTGCCCAACAAACCTATCTCTTCACTCCTTCTGTCCATCATCGTCCATCTGCACTATTACCAGTAGCCCAGCTTACAGGTGCCTTGTTGGCTCTTCCTCGATTAGATCGTTCCCCCCCCCCCCCACCCCTTTTTTTTTGTTTGCCAGTTTTGACAGAGCATCACTGCCACTGCAAGTAAAGAGTGTGAGAGTTTTCATCGGGAAGGTAAAGCTTTCTTCGCACTTGCACCATCGTTCACTGCTCTTCCTCTCCTCCTTCGTCGATCTTCTTCCCTTGCTCCCACACACCATGCGTGAAGATCAGAAAATAATTTAACTGAAATCATCAGAATATATACACAGTATTAAAGTAACAGCTGTGTTCTCTCACAGATAGTTATTAATGCTGCAACAATTAACACTTCGTTCCTAAATGAATGATTAACTGTGCAGGCAGGCTTCGCCAGAAACCTCCTCTCTACTGTTCAGGATTTTCCTGTAAAAAGCCTGAAACTTTTTGGCATCAAACCCGGGAGAGACCTGAAGGCACCCTAAATTCATCACGACAAAATGACTACTCAGAAAGACAAAATGAGAGGTGACTGCGACTGTGTTATATATACATAGCAGGTATGTACGGAGAATTATAAGAGAGAGCGTGAGTGTTTGGAGTAGAAAACGGAGGAGACTTCTCGAGGGATGGCTTTTGTGGGAGAGAACAGTGGTGGTGGTGATGGTCTAGTATGTCCTCAAATGATGATGAATATGCCTTTAGTGACAAATCATCATCATCATCATCAAAGTGGTCATCATCATTCATTAATAAATCCTAATGCTAATGCACATACTAATTTAAACACTATTAATTCTCCTTTTCTCCCCACACCTTGCACTAATAACAGTAGTTTCTCCTCCCCCTCCCCCTCCCTTGTTACGCTTCAAAACATCAGCAACACTGGGTTAAGCTTTGGCCGTTATTTCATGGACATCGTCGACTACAACATTAACAACAACGATGGTAGTTCCTCTTGTTCTTCTGTGAAAGCCAAGATCATGGCTCACCCCCACTACCCTCGCCTCCTTGCTGCTTACGTCAATTGTCAAAAGGTGAGTTATTGATGACAGATATGAAAAAGAAGACAGGAAGAGAAGCTTAAATTTTGACTGGACGTTTATCTCATTTTTCTCGCTTTAAAATTTTGGATATTTAATAATACCTTCATGGTTTATGCTCTCTCTCTCTCTCTCTCTCTCTCTCTCAAGTTCGGATCTGAGTTTTCGGTTGCTTGATATCTCGAACTGTGGCGTTATTATTGTCGTTACTATTTGAAAATGCTTTCAAGAAAACAGACGTGAGGAAAGAAGTCAACAAATTCAAACCCTTTGAAGTTGAATTGATTACGACAGTTCCTTGCGACCTGGATTTTTTTTCAGTTCAATTTCTTCATGGCAACTCCCTCATATTTTGTCATTATATATGCATTTGTGCATATAAAGAACCGCGTGTCCATGGATTTATTTGAGCGAGTTTGAATTCAGATCCTTAAATCCTGGGACGTGACGAGTACAGCACTGACTCCGAATTCAATGGTCTTTGGTTTGCACCTAACAGGTGGGCGCACCGCGGGAAACGGTGGCGAGGCTCGATGAAGCATATGCGGCGGCGGCGGCAATGGGCGGCAACGGAGCTGGGTCGGGCTGCACCGGAGAAGATCCGGCGCTGGATCAGTTCATGGAGGCGTACTGTGAGATGCTGACAAAGTACGAGCAAGAGCTTTCCAAACCCTTCAGGAGGCCATGTTCTTCCTTCAGAACATCGAGTGTCAATTCAAAGCTCTTACCGTTGATTCTCCGATTAACTTTGGTGATCACTTCTCTATTTAACTTTTAAACTCTATCTTCTTTCCCGATTTGTTTGGGTATTTTTTGAGGTCAAATTTTTGCCCTGGTCATGCATATATAAATGTTCATGGTTCCAGCAGAAAGTTGGTTTTGGTAAAACAATGCTATGAAGCAGAACAAAGTGATCCTAAATTGAAGTGGGTTATCACTGTTTTTAACTTTAATCAAATCTTTCCTTTTGGGGAACCGGGTAGGAAGGTCTGGTATTTGTTTTTTCTCATCGGGATATTAACACAAAAATACATTTACATTTACTATAGTCTATGAATTGTTTATTTCTCTTCTCGGTGTGGGTGCAATATCTATAGTATGCTCCCGTTATATTCTCGTTTGCTTTTTTGTGTGCGTTAGGTTTGGAACTCTCTTATGTGTTTCCCCATTTGATATTTACCTGTACGGAGGGTTTGTTGATTTTGAACCTAAACACAATGGAAGGTATTCTTCTAGCTAGAAACGAAACTACCGGCAGAGGGAAAAAAATTAGGTTTTGATGTATCCTAGGGTTTTTTCAGACCTCGTATCCAGGAATGGCAATTGTGAGGTTGGGTCAGATGCACAATTTTCGCTGTGCTTGGAAACGTGAATTTGCAGACAAGTGTTTGTAGAGAAATGAACCCATTCGGGCCAGTGCAATGCTGGAATTGGTAAAGGAGAAAAAGTTATTTGTAGGAATGAATTTTGGAACCTAAAACTAAATAATCATTGCAACTGGTCATGGCATTTCAGCCACCTTCAATCCCTTGTTTTTTTTTTTTAGCATTTTGTTGCATACTACACTTAACCTAGTGAAGAGGGATATCTAGATATTATGTGTTGATTTCATTAAAGTACCCTTCATTTTGATTATTTACATTGAAAGCTATACCTAATTGATTGCACAATTTATTTAAATGTATGTAATAGACGTATACGGGATAAAGGAGTTTTTGATTTAATTTTTGAGAGCTAAACAAACTTCTTAACTAACTCTTACATTTAGGATAGTGAAGAGTATGCTCTTTAAGATTGAGGAAGAATTGGAGTGGGTCTTATTAAATTGCATGAAGTTCAAGATGAGCTATTGTTTGTGAACTTAGCGGTTTCCTCTACTTTATTTACTATATGTTTTATATTTGTTTTTATATTGGTAATGATTAGATAATAGTCTGAGAAAAGTCTAAAATATATTTGATCGTTTGTTCTATCCAAAAAGATTTTGCCAAATATTATGTAATTTTGCTCAATGTCAATATTTCATTGGTAGATACAGGTTTTGCCGGTTACTTTGCCATTAATCATTGTATTTCGGGGTTGAGTAATAATTATCCTTTTTTTTGTTGACCTGATATAACTATCCAAGTTTAATCACCACCCTTTTTACTTTTTATGAACGTTGCTAGGTGTCATATCATTTTCCATATGTTTGGATCTGCAAGTGGAATACATCTTTTCATGCATGTTGCGCCCATGATATTATGATCTATATAATATATATATTTTTTTAATATGTTTCCTTGTCTTTAACTAGAATTGGATCGACATTGACATATCTAAGTTGGTGCTAATTGTTAGACACCTACAATAGAATGTGTCCACCTTCAGTGTCCGGGGTCATACTTTTCTGCGCGTGTAAATGACCGTGATTGAGGATATCTAACAGGCTTATCCCATACTTTCTTGGATATAAACATAACCTAGCTTTTAGTGAATCAATTTTCTGTGGCTTTTAACCGTGTTTGGTACAAAAGAAGCATTGTTCGTTGTGAGTGTTATAAAGCATGCAACATTCAATGCATAAGCAGCAAAATCAACTTATGGATCATGTTCTGATAAGTTCTTTGTTCTCCCAGCTGCTTTTGTCGTTTTGTTGTTCGTTCAGAAAAAAAAAAGTTTCTTTGATATGTTCTAGACAATTTAACTTCTATTCTTTTGCTCTTTTGATCAAACACTTATTTTCCAATGAAATCGATTGCTCTGGTTAGAGGATACTTAAATACCTCCATTATTGCTTCAAGGCTTTAATTATTTTTAAAAACTTTTGTGTGACAAACGACAATGCCTTTTTCTACTACTTACTTTGGTCTCTCAAATAAAATTGAAGGTTTTAGGATTTGGTAATTTGATCAAACACGATTATTACTTGATGGTTTGAATTATTACTTTTCAAACCTCTCTTTTCTATGATAAATGACAATGCCCTTTCCTCCTTCGGCCTCTTATCATGCTGACTGTGACGTTGAGATTTCCATGTTATTTTAAAGAAGTGAATTATATATGCACACAAATAAATTACCATGAGATCCTTGTTTTGGAGCCTTTTGAATTCACTGATTTGTACCTTTTTTTAATCTCTCTTTATTATGATAGCCAAGTCTCTCATTTTAGGAAAGATAACCCACTTCCTACTCGGTTCCCCAAAAGGAAAGATTTGATTAAAGTTAAAAACAGTGATAACCCACTTCAATTTAGGATCATTTTGTTCTGCTTCATAGCATTGTTTTATCAAAACCTACTTTAATATATATAAATGAAATATTGATTGGTGTGGTTTGATGTGAGCTGTCGATCAGGCGCTGTTTACTTTAATTTGAACCTTGATGCATTGTCTAATCTGCTTTTTGATGTACCTATAAATGCTTTGAGTGAATGGGATGGTGATTATGTTGATGATAATCCTTGGTTATGTTGCTACTGATGATTAATTCATATATATTGTCTTATCAGCTTGTGATAAGAATATTGAAAGGACTGAATCATCTGAAGATGACATGGATCTTCAAAACAGCAGAAGCTTGATCGATCCGCAGGTTGAGGATAAGGAATTGAAAGATCAGCTTCTGCGAAAGTACAGCGGATACTTGGGAAGCCTGAAGCAGGAGTTCATGAAGAAGAGGAAAAAGGGAAAGCTGCCTAAAGAAGCAAGGCAACAATTACTTGATTGGTGGAACAGACACTATAAATGGCCTTACCCTTCTGTATGTTGCCTCCATAACCTACTTTAATTTCCTTGAACTAATTCTTCTATAATTTATGTTTTATCAATCTCCTGTACGTTAATGTAATGCTTGGTAAATAGAAAAAATACTTAATTTCTAAATAAGAAGTGAGAAATTTCCATTTTATTTTTAAATACATTTTTTTATTTCCTTTTCAGAAAACACTTTTTCACGTACCAAACATAAAGCACTAAATGTGTGCTTCGAGCGGCTGTAGAAGCCGATACATGTGCAGCTATATCAGCTTATGTCCATATTTCCAATTAGCCTAATTTTTTTAACATGTCTATGATGGTGCAGTACAACTCAGATCTGGACTTAGAAAAATTTCCCCCAGAATGAAGGGATATTGTGCTAGATAATAAAACTTCTAGTACTTGAAATTTGTTTTAGTTATTGATTTAATCCTTGGAATTTAATATTCATCGATCGGGTCTATAAAATTTTATAATTATATACACAATCAGTCCTTGTGATTTATATTTCCCTCTCAATCATAAGGACTAATCATGTATGGTTATGAAATTTTGAGGACTTGATTGATAAAGATTAAATTTCAAAGACCATATTGATTATTGAAGCAAAGTTGAAGGATCAAAAGTTTTATTATTGAGAGAATGACAATTAAGGATCTCATAAGAAAATTAATGTTAAATCAGGATCTCATCATAACTTATGTTCTCAAATTCAGCACCCGTAGCTTTAAGTAGACCTGATTCAGTATTAACCTTCTTAGGAGGTCCTTAGTTGTCATTCCCCCTTTTTTGTATCTTTATTTTGCCAATTAAACAATTGGGTATAATTTGGTTCAATGAATTTTGCTGTCTCAACTCGTACTTATTGGGAGATATACTCAATCAATGCTTCTGGGTGGTGGTGTTGTATTTGGGTCCTCTAGATCTGTTTCTCCATGGAAGTGAAGAGTAATTGAAATGTGGTTTGAATTGATTACAGGAATCACAGAAGCTGGCACTTGCAGAATCAACAGGTCTGGATCAGAAGCAAATAAACAACTGGTTCATTAATCAAAGAAAGCGTCACTGGAAGCCTTCAGAAGACATGCAATTCGTGGTTGTGGATCCAATGCATCCTCCCTACTTCATGGACGACGTTCTGGGAACTCCATATCCCATGGATTTCTCTCACGCCATGCTCTGAAATATTCATAATAATCATGTCTCATGCATATGCATGAGCCTTATTCTTCTTATAATTATTAGTCTGTAGTCCATGCTAGCCGTGTCAAGAATCAAGTCATTATTCATAAGTTCACAGCTTCCCATATTCACTCTAAACCATAAATCTTATAATTAAACTGTATTATATAAAGTGTGTGTAGAGATTATTTCTGCGTTTTATGTACTACCAGATTATGTGGAATATGACGTCTATTCTCAAGATCATATATTTTGGACTTCTGGTTATGATTACACTTTTGGTGTTTTGATGAACTGGGAGGATTGCAATTCTAAAATTTCTGACTTGTATCTTAACGAGAAATTCAGCTAGAAAACTCAGTTTTAACTTTGATTTCGTGTTTAAAATTTTGTATTCTTTAGTTCGAGAGGTTGTCATCGTATCTAAGGCTCTGTTTGGGTGGCTAGCTTTAAATTTTTTGAAAAGCATCTTTGGTGCTTTCTAAAAATTATAAGTTGTGGCTTTCTGGCTTTGAAGATGTTGCTGAAAACATGTCTATTTTGAACAATGTTGAGAGCTGCTATGGATTTGATGTTGGCTTAACTCTTATTCTCTCAATCTTAGCAGAAGGAATATCTCAACCCAGTGAGTTCCTCCTGTTAATGATTTTGTTAAATTTAATACTGATGTTTTTGTACTTGTAGATGGGAGTGCTTAGTGGGGGAGTAATTTGGGATGCTGACGGTAAATGAATTATGGGATTCAGTGCTCATTTGGATCTTTTGGCATTTTGTCATTGCGGAAATCAAAAGGATAACCAAAGGGTTGAAAATCTGTTGAAATTTTGGCTTCACACAATTAAAGTTATTAATGATTGCATCGAAACTCTCAATTTGAATTTTAGAGATTTTAAAAGAATATTTTGAATATTACAGTTTATTAAGAGAGATTGGATTATAGTTTTTAACTTCACTTTTAGAGAGGCTAATAAGGTAGTTAATATTTTAGCTACTTTTTCTCATAGTTTAGTGTCCTCTTTTTAAATTTTTGATCATCCCTAACCTCATTGCTGTAAGGTGGTAAATGATGAAAGGGTTATTTGATTTGTTTGGATATGACTCTATCTCCAATGTTTAAAATTTTGACCACACTCTTAAACATTTCTAATGCATTAGATTTGTATAATAAAAATTAAAAATAATCATAAATCAATATCTTTTTTAATAATTATACATGGAAAAGTATATTTTATTGTATATAATTTAAACAACTTTAAATTTATTAAACTGGCCTTTTAAAAAATATATTTAAATATAAATTTTGTTATAATAATTGACTTTTATTAAATTGATTTTCATCAAATGAACTTTTAATAATTTTAACTAATGAAAAACTAAATACACACTAAATTTAAGCGAAATTTCAGTGTCATGTATAGATTATTTAACAAACTTGTACAATCTTATTTTTTATGACCCAATGTTGAATAAATAATAGTTGTTTTATCATAACAGTGCATTTATATTTGTATTCCTGGACATCTAAAAAATATCTGATTTGTGCTATGCATAGTGTGCGTGTCATCGAAACGTCGGCATTAATTAGAGTTCATGACATTTTTGTGTGTTTTGGAAAACATCAAAATTGAGGTTTGAGTTGTCTAGACCACGGTTGAGTTGCTAGAAGCTCTTTAGCTGATCTCAATGACGGGGCCAACGAGTGTAGAGGTGACCCGTCAGGCCGACCCTTGTTGTCGCCTCTAAATGAGTGGTGGGGTTGAAGACGTGAAACGTGTTGAGAGAGCTAATGCAGTCTGGTGGTGAGTGCTGGGGATGCTTTTTAAAATTATTGTCAGACTTCTTTGTCCCAGTGGTCTGTTCGCAATTGTTGCTCTCCATATTTGCCAATGAATTTTAAAATTTCATATTACCTTTTTACAAATTAAGATTTTTTATTTATCAATTTATTTTAAATTTTAAAATTTTACCTTTTAAAAATTTAAATTTAAATTTATTAATTTTTCAAAAATAAATATAAAATTTTTTAAATTTAATACGCTTGTATTTCAAATTATAATATACTTTTAAAGGATATTTGTCATATTAAAATATAAAACACTTTAACAAAAACAAAGTTTTATTAACAATATTTTTTTAGTATTACCTTTTTCATTATATTTTTTTAATATTCTTCTATATATGAAATATTAAGCGAAAGATATTTTTAAAAATTTATATTTTTGTCTTAAAAAATTTAAGTTGTACGAAATATTTAATGAGCTATATGTGATTTTATCTTAGAGTATCTTATAATTTGGAATAGGTAAAGTATTTTGTACTTTATGATCTTATTTTATTTTTAAAAATTTAAGGTTTTTAAGTTTATTTTTTAAAATTATTTAAATAAATTTTAGTTTGTCCAACTAACTTTTAAAAAAAGTATGCAAACATCAGTTACATTATAGTCGCATACTTTTATCATAATTTCATCTTGCCATCTCTTTTACTTTTCATGGTGACATGAAAGTTTTTGTGAAGAGAAATATTTAGATAGACTAGTGCACCACATTGTTCATGATCCATCTAATAAATTTACACCAACTCAATTAAATAAAATTTTAAGTGTCATTAGTTTTAATAATTTTATTTTTATAACAAAATGCCTATTTATATTTTTACTTTTCTCTCTATATTTTTATTAATATTAAAATTAATTTATATTTAACTGCATCTGAATATCATGTTTTTATTGGTGGAACATTAATGACGTGATACATTAAATCTATTTAAGAATTTCTCTCCCACCTCCCTCTAAGGGTGTTCACGGGACGGGACGGGACCGGGACACCCCCATCTCGTGTCCCGTCCAGAAAAAAAGATCGGAACTGAATTTTGGTCCCGTGTCCCGTCCCGTCTCGAAAGTCATCCCGTCCCGTTAAGAGTCGGGACGGGACTGGGACAAGATCGAGAAGTCTCGCTGTCCCGATATATGAAATAATATCGAAAAAAGATCTGGATAATAACGTTCATTAAAACTTTAAATTATATAATTTATTAAGTTTAAAATTAAAAAAACACAAGTACATAAATAGCAATAATTTAAAATTAATTATTGAATTATATTAATCATAACTACATATTATAATAAAAAATATAAGTGATCTTTATGCTATAAGATTAGCAACAACAGGCAAGTCAAATACAACATCAAATAATTATTCTTCTACTTTAGTGAAGATGTACTAAGCTAATTACTCTTCTAAAAATAAGCAAGAAATATGTTATAAATAAAAGTTATTAAATAGATAGATATAAGAATAAATTATATTAATATAATTAATATAATATAAAAAAGATATCGCCATGTTTACTCCATGTCATTAAAATTATTAATATAAAAACACTTTAATTTTAAATAAGAATTGTAAGTATTAAAATTATAATTAATATAAGTATAAATTATATTAATATAATTAATATATTTAAAATAACAAATAATATATATAATATTCGGGACGGGACAGGACGTCCCGATGGTAATCCCGTGTCCTGTCCCGTCCCGAACCCCTTTCCTGTTCCGTCCTGATTATTTTCGGGCCGGGACAAGACCCGTCCTGATATGATCAGGACGATACCGGGCCAATCGGGACGGGTCCAAATTGAACACCCCTACCTCCCTCCTTTTTTATTTTCTCTTGCATTTTTTCCCCTTTTTTATTGCTTCAAAGAATTCAACATTCCAAACAAACCATTGATTTTATTATATACTCTCCCAATTAAAAAATGTAAGACATTTTTTTAAAGAGTTGAATATTAAAAAATATAAGATATTTTTAATCTTTTGAGGTGTAATAATCACTTTTTTCAAAATTATTCCTATTGAATAGATCACTTTATATTTTTGTAGGGTTAAACATCCTATTAGATAGAAATAAATATAAAAAGATAGGGTTAGTTTAAAGACAAATAACTACTTTATTGAGAGGTGAGATTTGATTAAAAATACTTTATATTTTTTAATGGAGGGAGAAGTTCAGGAGATTGCATGTTTGAATACTACCTTCAATGTGAGAATTTATTGATAGGCAATTTGTAAGTACTTATATAAATATCTTATTTGAGTTCGAGATATGTTCTGACTAGAGTTAGTAATTCGAAACGGAGCGGGCTAGTTCAGGTTGAGTTTATTTAGATTAGGTTTAAAATATCTAAACATATAAAAAAACCCATATGATTAAACATAGCCTTAACTTATTTAGGCTTCAAGCCTATTCAGTCAGGCCAAAATATACAAATTATATTTTTTATTTAAAAATAAAAAATTTAATTATTTTTATTTTGTTGAAAAATTAAAAATATGCCTTTGAGGATATTTTAAAAAATGGAAGAATCAACATTTTTTATAAAAAAAATCGCGGGTTTTAAAGTTAAAAAATCAAGATGAAAATATATTTTAAATATTATTTAGAAGTATTTTGTAGATTCAAAACATTAAAAATATAATAATATGGAAATTTTTAATTTTTCTAAGAAAATATCTAAAGTCATGTGCTCAAATATATGATTTATCAATTTAAAATGAATTAAAGTTTAAATAATTAATTAATATTTAATATACTATATTTTTTTTTTAAAAAAATTGTTTGGGTATTTTAGTTAAGCCCGAATTGGATCGGGTTTAACTTGAATTTTTCATACTTGTTCATGCCAGCTCATACACTAAAAACTAAATATTTTGCTAAGTCTAGCTTTAGATTTTTTTATTGAACTGTCAGGTTTGACTCAAATTATCGACTCTATTTTTAAACTTAAGAAGTCCACGGAATCCAACTAACATGATCTTTTCTTATATAAAAAAATTCAGCCTCCAACCTATCCTCTTTATAATAATTCTAATAGAATTCTATTTTTAAATTTTTTTTATGTGGGAGTTAAAGATGAAATTACAATTGTATGAATATTATCATTTCATTCAGGGCTGTTCTTGTGACATGGCTATCTAAGATGCCTGTTTAAACCCAATAAAATTTTCCCAGCTCAACCTAGAAAAAAAGCAACTCGACATGGTTTGTACATATTCAGGTAGAGGTGATGTTCGGTTTGGGCCAGGTAACGAGCAAGTTATGTTGCCTTGTCCTTTCACCCCTACTTGAGGTATATTTTTTATATATGATTTTCTTTTTTTTTCATAATTGACCGACTAAGAGTGTGTTTGAGCATATATGGTGAAACGATCATTAATAAAATTAAATGGGGTGGAGTGGGATGGAGCAAAACA